CCCATAAAACTGGAGAGGGTGGGGGACATGGGGATAGTAAAGATAGTGGAATGAGATGAACATCATTATGCTAGGTACATGTATGATTGCACAAATGGTGTGACCCTATTTTGGGTTTAACCAGAGAAGTGAAAAATTGTGCTCCTTTTGTGTACAATGAATTGAAGAATATTCTGCTGTCATGTATAACTGGTTAGAATAGATAGATAGATAGATAGATAGATAGATAGATAGATAGATAGATAGATAGATAGATAGATAGATAATTGAGTTTAATGATCCAGTTGGCCCCCCACCTACCTTTTATGTGGCACTAGGGATTGAACCTAGGGCCTCACACATGTTAGGCAAACACTGAGCTACCTCCCCTGTTCAATTTTTGTTTTGAGACAAGTTCTCAAGAGTTTCCCAAGGCTGGCCTGGAATTTGAGATCCTCCTGCCTGAGCCTCTGGAGTAGGTGGGAATACAGGCGTACTCCACTGCACCTGGCTAGAAGGGACTGCTTTATGGTGCCAGCTCATGTTGACTGGGCCCCTTCTGACTAGTTAACTGTGAATATTCTGGGGTATTTGTTTTTAAACTGAAAAAAGAGGGGTTTTTAATGGTGGGGGGATATGTGCTGGGGATTGAACCTGGGGACACTTTACCACTGAGCTACATTCCCAGTCTTTTTTTATTTTTTATTTTGAGACAGGGTCTCACTAAATTGCTGAGACTGGACTTGAACTTCCAATCCTGCTGCCTCAGCCTTCAAGTTGCTGGGATTATAAGCATGTACCACCTTGGCCAACTAAACTATTGCATTTCAAAGTTTAGTCTGACTACATGGCATCTAGCAGGAGTGACTCCATTCTAGTTTGGTTTGGTCTACTCTACAGGAGCTTGACACAAAAGGGAGCCATCACAAATTTTATGTAGTAGAATATATACAGCTTAAGCTCCCTCTTCTCTTTTACAATACTGCCTTAAGTCTTTGTTGTCTTCTTATATTACCACAGCCAAAATTAAATTTAGCCACAAAGTCATTTACTTTCCAGTTGGCCTTTTCATTATCTCTTCCATTGTATCCTAAACCAAGATCCAAGCCCCAAAGTTAAAAATAACCCATTGTCCAGCCTGCTAGACAAACAGCAACTGCCTTGGTTGGCACAAAACTTTAAAGTGGGAGTGCATTTAACTCCTTCCTCACGGCTGAACCAAATTCTAGGGGTTGGGAAACCTTTTGTTGAATGTTAAGAGTGCATGAAAATTTTCCTATGTTCATAAATGAATACATGACCAGTGTAACTCCACACCATTACAACCACAAGAATGGGAAATTATAGTCCTATATATATAATATGTCAAAATACATTCTATTGTCATGTATAACTAAAAAGAACAAATTAAAAATATAGAAAAATTTTTTAAAAAGAGTATGTGGAGTTTGGAGACCTCAGGAATAATCTGCTGCTTTGTCATTAGGAGGTAATAAATCAACAGCTTGCTGTTGTTGGGTGCTGTGGTGCACACCTGCAATCCCAGCAGCTTGGGGGAGGCTGAGGCAGGAGGATTTTGAGTTCAAAGCCAGCCTCAGCTACTTAGCAAGGCTCTAAGCAGCTTAGTAAGACCCTGTCTCTAAATTAAAAAAAAAAAAAAAGCTGAGGGATGTGGCTCAGTGGTTGAGCCTGGGTCCAATCCCCAGTACCAAAAAAAAAAAAAAAAAAGCTTGCCATAGCATTCTGTGGGGAATGTTATCAAATATACTTAATTCCTGGTATGCAGTTTTGATTATCTTTTTCTAAAATTTCATTAATCTAGGACTTTTTTTTGATTATTGACTTCAAAAAATTCTTAAACAGTAACTTTAATTCATAATATAACTTTAATTCATAATATTGTAAGAATATCATACAGCATAGTAAATAAAGAAAAAGTAAAAATTCCTCTTCTCCCTAACATCATCAAAATGGCGATATTACCAAAAGTTCTCTATAGGTTCAATGCAATGCCAATCAAAATCCCAACAGCATTTCTTGTAGAAATAGATAAAGCAATCATGAAATTCATATGGAAAAATAAAAGACCCAGAATAGCAAAAGCAATTCTAAGCAGGAA